CTTTAGACTTTTGACCAAAATGGAATAATTTTGAACAACTTGAGAACAACAATTCGGAACAGAATCATGAAAATGTTCAACAAAATTAACAAGAAACTGCACTTTGTAATTCTTGATTTAGGTATGGTTGAAAAACGTTATAATTCTCTGAAGCATTATGTGCAGCAAGTTCGCTTTAATTTCAAGCAATATGAAAAGGAAGCCGTGTCTTTAATCAACACGTATGAATATTTTTATGATCAAAGGCTTCCAAGAGCACGCGAAAGGCCTTACGATGATGAAATTAACAGTGTGGAAACTGTTTTCTGGGCGATATTAAATGATTGCAAACGTTAAAGAGATCCCGGGAAAACTAATGAGTAATCTAGATAAAAGAATAAAAGCCAATTCTGAATTAAACTCTCTGCGTCGTTTTTATTTTTGAATCTCCCTAGCATTGATATCTCGGAAATTACTTGCAGTGTACAAAAACTTGTTGACGGATATTCTACTAATCTTAACTTTCACTTATTGAACGAATGTATTGATTTTGTAGCTTTTTTTCAGAAACTTTTTTCAGATCTTTCTATTGTTTAAATAGAAAACTGAGTATTGGATTCCATTGAACTAAAAGATATCATATATACTTTTGCTTTTGCAGCTTAAAATGCAGACGAAAGGTGTTATAAAACCTATACTAATTGGAGTGTGTTTTTAATAATAAGTAACGCTAGATGCTTGTTTAAATATAAAAAAGATTTTTTTATTTTACACCGCTGTTAGATTTGAATACTAGAAGGCCAACAAGGGGCCAGAAGACCTAAAGTGCCGGGAGGCCAAGAAGTACTTAATCCAGCCCTGGAGGTATCTATAAAGTGTTAGAATTTATTAAAGACTATATTGTGTTTTGTTTATATTTAAAAGGCTTTTAATAAGGTATATTTTCATTTGATTGTCTTTGGTTTATTGTGCTGGAAGTATCTGTTTGGATTTAATTGTCTTAGGGGGAAATTTATAAGTATTTTTGTTTGCCTACTTGAGTTGTTTAAGTGTTTTTATTGGAGTTTTAATTTGCGTTTTCGTGTTTTCTTCCGGTGGTGGGGAAAGTGATTTGTTTAATTTTTTTTATTTTAGTTGTAAAGTGGATCTGCACTTTTGATATCATATCAAAAAAAAATATTGTTGCTTCACAAGTTTGGGTATGGTTGGGTTTTGGCTATTTGTTGTGAGTCCTTTTTTACTGCAGTATGGAATAGGCGTAAGTTGCGGGGTAAAGCATAAGTGGTGATGACGTTTATCTGACGGGATACACTAGTTATAAGTGCTGATCCTGATCGAAACGCCTGTAACGCGACTCTGAGGAGATTCTTATTACTATACCACTACACAAATTTTGTTTACACGCATTAATGTTTTTTTTCTATTCTTAGACATTTTTGTATGCTTATTTTTTATTTTGTATTCAATTTTTTGCTTTATAAATTTTTGTTTGGTGATATATTTGTTGTATATCTTAGTTCATTTTAAGTGTTTATAAAAAAATTTATTTTTTATTATTGTAAGTTTTGTTTGGGTGCATTGTATGTCTTATTTTTGTCATCGTATTAGTACATTTTTAAATATTCTTCTATCAACATTTATTATTACCCTTACGGAAATATTCCATGGAAAATCCATGGAATTTCATGAGTAAACCATGGTTTTCCCGTAAAAAACTGGAATTTCCATGGGTGAATTTCATGAAAATTGAAATCCCATGGAATTTCCATGATTTTTGTTTTCATAGCTTATGCTGCGCCATGGTTGTTACGAATGCGCTTTTAAAGATGTTTACCGCATTCTTCTGTTTTTCTGTGTTTAATAAGACTATAAATGATATGTTTGTTATAATGCATCACATTTATATGATTCAAACTAAACATACAGACATAAGCAACTAGATAAATTTATCATATTATAATGCATTATAAAATGGATTATTTTTAATTATATTTAGTTTTATATCATTTATGCATATACTAATTTTAACTGTTTCCAGTAGCTTTGCATAACTTGCAATAGTATAGCAAGTATGTCAAGTAAACCAGTTTGAATTTTAATGCTTACTTGGCAAGTTATTTGCCAAATAATTATTATTTGGTTTACAACAAATAAACGTTGATTTTTAATCTACATTAAATAACAAGTGTATTAATGTACATAGTGTAATCTAATGTACATTAAAACTTATATAATTATTATTATAAAACTTATATAACATATTAAACAAACTTATCTAAAATATTAATATACAAGCAGTATATCAGATAAGATTAGATAACTAAGATAAGATAAGATAATAAGATTAGATAACTTATGTACAAAAGATAACTAGTATAATCTTTTTTTTTTTTTTTTTTTTATATATCCTCAGATTACATAAGAATGTATGAAGTTAATTGTATGGTAAATGTTCATTAAGTATTAAAAAACGTTTTTTTATGATAAATGTTCTATTCACTTTTAGTTCTGTTAAGTTGTTTTTAGTTCTGTTAAGTTGTCAAAAGCTGTGAAAATAAAATAGTGAATTGAGTTTAAATTAACCAGAAAAGATATAAACGTAATCTCTGGGATTCAACTTGTAAGGATGTTTCAAGAACCACTTAGTTTGAGAAGGAAAACTGTGGTAATGTTTTAAAAGTATCAGAAAAGGAACTTAATTAATGCACAAGATTTTACTTCGTAGTTAAATATAAGCATGTAAAAGCAATGTTTATAAATAATACACTATTATTTATGAAAATACAATTATTTTTGTTTGTTTATATTTAACTAATGTAAAGTGCTCGTTTTAGTTAAAATAAATTAATTTATACACACACTGTGTTATTTATTATGCTTTTACATTACTATACTTTATAAATTACATATTTAATAAATTTGTTATGTTTTAAATAGTAAAGTAAAAATATAATAAATTTTTGAATTTAATCGTGTGTGCATAAGTTCTTTTATTTTAACTTTATCATTTTATTTAAATTACTGAATTATAAGCAGGTAAGTTTGACTGACAATATAAATAACGTTGTATATCATGCAGACAGCTCAGACAAAGAAGTAAGTTTTTACTTAAAATTACAATTTATAAGTTATACTATATTTATTGCTGTCTTGTTCTATATAAATGTTACTAACATGCAGGTAAAATTTATATATGTTTAAATCTCTTCATTTTAAGCTTATCATTTCATTTAAATTACTACATTATTAGCAGGCAGGTTTGATTTGCAATATAAAGTTTTAATTTATTTATTTAGCTGTTCATCAACAAGTCCGGTGCTTTATAATATATTTAAAGGTGGTAAGGACGTGAAGAAAACAGGTTTGTAAATGATGTTGTACATCATGCAGATAGCTCAGAAGAAGAAGTAAGTTTTTTTAATTACAAAAATAAATATATAATATAATATTTGTTGCTGCCTTGTTCTATACAAATGTTTCTAACATGCAGGTAACATTTATATATGTATTAGTGTGAATAAATCATTTTAATTAAGTTACATTATAAACAGGAACGTTTGACTGGAAAAATAAACGGTGTTGTACATAATGCAGATAGCTTAGGCGAAAAAGAGGTAATAATCTAATAATTGTTATTTATAAATAATGATATATTCATTGCTACTTTTTTCTATATATATGTTACCTAACATTTGGCAACATTCATAATTGTGTATAATGTCTAATTATAAAGTAAGTTATAATAGATAATAATTATTAGTAAAATGAATCAGTAAATAAAGAAAACTAGTTAGAATGTATATAATAGTTGTATGATGTATTGTCTAGATTGGTGAAATGGAGAATGAGACTAACTAAGTTGAAAAAATAATGAACATCAAAATGTGAATGGTACTTTGTTTGACATCTACTTGTTTCTAAAGACAAAATGCAGTCGCACTTATAAATGGGCTTGATGTTTTTTTTGTATGATGTATTGATGGTTCTTTTTAACTTGTTAAAACTTTAAGTTATTATCAAATTTATATATACTATTTTTATCAAATAGTTAATATAAAATAATAAACATGTAAATTGTTTTATTTTCTGCAAAAAAATTTTTCTTGATATATTTCAATTGTTTATCACTATGTATATCACTTATAGTATTATATTACTTGTAACTTTTTGTTTTATTTATTTTCAGTATGTTATACATATGCGTGCATTAAATATTGTGGGGAAGTCAAGTTTTGATGTTTTAGGTGCATTATAGCTATTATTTTTCAAAGATTTGTAGGATTTAACAAGATTTAAATTTTATTTTGATTATTGATTTTATTCAGAGAAAGCGATCCCATAGAATAAGAGAACTCAATAATATTAGTGTGGTAAAATTTGCTTTTATGATTTAATATGACAATTCAAATAACATTAGATCAAAAAAACTTGAAAACAAATCATGCTTTTTACCATGAAAAATCCATGAGTTTTCTTTGAAAAGGTGTTCCTAATACCTATGAAAATTCCATGGTTTTTTCCATGGATGGAAATCTCATTGAATATCCAATGTATTTGGAACACTTTTCTATGAAAAACTCATGGAATTTTTCATGAGAAACTCACGGGTTTTCCATGGAAAACTCATGGGTTTCTTATAGGAAGCTCATAGATTTTCTATAGAAAACTCATGGGTTTTCATTGAAAACTCATGGGGATTCCATAGGATTTAGGGGACTCATGGATTTCCAGGGGGACATAGGGGACATAGGGGACTCATGGATTTCCCACGGAAAACTTATGGGTTTCCCATGAAAACGTGTTCCAAATAACCATGATTTCTCCATAGGTTTTTTCATGGGAATTTTCCGTAAGGGTATCATGACGACTGTCAAAATATGCTTTGTTCGAAAAATAATTCTTTTCTATTCTAATGAACTTCGTTTTTCCCTCAGGCGAGGGAAAAATGCAGTTTTCAAATAACACATATGTAATACATAATATATTAATCAATAAGTCATACAAAATTTAATACAACATATATAAATCATAGTGACAAATAGTATTTGCGATACATCATATATTGTCAATACAAAACAACATTATACCTTTTAAGCTAATTTATATATATTACCAAATGCGTTTAAATAAATAATTTCATGCCATCTATTTTATTATTAATTTTATAAATATAAAAAAAATTACTTTATAAAACTTAAAAAAAAAAAAGCGGATATGGTTTTAAAGTCTTTTAATGTTTCAGACGTAAAAACCAATGAGTCGGCTTAAGATGTTTTAAAATAAATAAATTTTTTGATATTGTTTTTGCTTTAACTTTCAAAAAATACTTTTATTATGAGATTTCTATACTTTCTATTGAACACTCATCGTCTTCAAAATCAGTTTTTACGTTAATCATACGGCGCTCATCATTTTTTGAAACATGAATTTTTTCATTAGCCAAAGAAGACTTGTAGAGAAGGCTTGTGCAAGCAATAAATTTATTCAGAGATTCGTTTGAATCGACTTCATTATCGTTTAATAAATAATCGTATTTGGAAAAATTCTGCTGAATTACAGTCAGTTTAAGGTTATCGTTGATTTCAACTGCACGAAATCTTTCCTTTTTTACTAAATTGTTTTGATATCATTTTATAAATAATTTTGTAAAACTATTCGACTTTTTTTTATTATTAATATGATTTTATTATAAAAATAAATCTGGTTTAACTCACCATTTAACTGTAATAATTAAAGAGTGAGAATGTAATAGTTAAAAATAACAAAACTACAGAACAATAACAGAACAATGTAAAGAACAAAAATAACACAAATTACAGAACAAAAGCAACACAAATTACAGAGCAGAAACATTAACATTATTTAACTAAGATAATAACACGATTAAAAAACCAAGAATACTACAATAAGTAGAGATAAATTAAAATTAATAATTACACCAAGTAATTAATTAATACTAATTAATTGCACTATATTAGGTAGTAAAATTATTACACCAAGATATTCAACTGCAAGACATTGATATAATAGTTCCACTGAGATTGGTCATTGATGATAATATTGTTTGGATTAATTTGAAACATTTCTTTAGGTCTCTACATTATAATATATAATACAAAAAAAGAATCAACTGAGTTGAGTGAGGCAGAAAAAAAAAATCGCATCACAGATAAATTACAAGATTTTTTCGAAAATATTGGTTTGAAAAATGATGAAGTATGCATTCTCATAATTCATTTTTATATTGATTATGTGTTAGATAGTAAGGTGATCCCACCTAATCTACACAATTCTGTAACATAAGTCAAGCTAAACACTCAGAAATGAACAGCCTGATAGTCATAAAAAAACAACAAGTAAAATCTAGAATTTGTATTATCAACTCTATTCTCCTAGATCAGGTCTCTTATGCATATTCTGCATTTAAGTTATAACCCGAAAAAAAAATTACGTTGAGCCAGATCACCAGAGGCAATCTGACTCGATGTAATTTATTGAACAAAACTTATTTATTGTACATAGTAATTTATTGAACAAAATTTCAGGGATAAATTAAGTTTAACGGATTTTCCGAAGAATGGGCACACCTACAAATAATGGGAACACTGCTTGGAGAACCTTTAAGGTGGCTCATAAAGAAAAAAATCTCATTTTTTTGATTCTTCTAGAAAATTTATGATTCTTCTAGAAAATTTATGATTCTTCTAGAAAATTTATGATTCTTCGAGAAAATTTATGATTCTTCTAGAAAATTTTGCATAAAATACTTAATACTAATAGTTTAATTTAACATTTTTTCATTGTTTAATTTTTAATGATTAAAATTTCTTCTAAGCGGAAAAATTCTAAATAATATTGAAAAAAATTTTTATTATAAAATTATGTAATTTTTATTTAAAAATATGAAATAAATATCTAAATAAAGTCTGTGCGTTGTACTAAAATATATGCAACTAAATCAAACGGCTTTTAATTTCGTTATGTTTTGTGGAGTATGCTGTACAGCTTGAATCAAGCTTTAGTAGCTATTGATATCTCAAAACATTTTACTTGTATTTTTTATCAAGTTTAAAGGAAATCGGTTTACCAAGTCAAGCAAGGTTACAAAAACTTTAAAATCTTCTACACTTCGTTATCAAAAAAATATCAAAAACTTTGAATGAGACTTCTAAAGAAGATGAGATAATTATTTTTTGATCGTGAATTTTGAAATTCTTAAAGATCTTGTAAATAGTTTAACACGCTCTGCGTGCAATGCACAAAAACTGAGTTTATCCAATAAACTTGATCTAAAAATGGGTTTGCTAACAAACTTTTAAAAATGATTGGAATAGTGATTGGAGCAATGAATTTTATACATCTCCAACTTGTTCCTGTCCTCAAAATGCAACAATAACTGTTGATGTCTGTAATGAAAATAACATTTACACACAAGGGCGCAACCTGTTCAAAATTAATGTTCAAAATGTAATTGCTTTTTGAGAGGATGGAAAAGGCCTTGAGTGCAATAAAAAGTTTTTCTAGATGCCACAATATGGAGCCAGTTATCGAAACATAATCAGTCATTTGTATAAAGCTTACAATAATGTAGCAAGTAATAGCATAGTAAAAGCGGTTGATGAGATTAGGTTAAACCCTGAAAACAAAGCTCATTTAGGCATCACAACATGTTGTGTTTCAGTAGATGGATCTTGACAGAAGAGGGGATTTTTCCCTCAATGATTTTGTTGTAGCTATAAACCATGGCAAGTGTATTGATGTTTATTTAAGTGTTTTGATATTTATATAAAAGTATTGCAGGCAGTGTCAAATTTGGAATAGAAAAAAAGGGTCTGAAGAACACCAAAACTGGCTTTCCAAGCATAACTGTTCAATTAACCATCAAAGTCTATCTGGTGCAATGGAGTCAACTGGTGCAGTGAAGATTTTTCAGCAGTCAGTTTTAAAAAACAACCTTATTTAAAATAAGTAATTTAGTGATGGAGACACACTGTCATACAAAGAAGTCTTTGCTTCTAATGTTTATAAAAATTATGGTATTATTCCAATTAAGTTAAAATGTGTTGGACACGCGCAAAAGAAATGTGGAAACAAATATGGATCTCTTTGTAAAAAGTTCGCAGGAACAAAAAACACTTTGTCTGGTCACGATAAGCTAACAGATAAAATAAATAGCTCAATGCAAAACTTTTATGGCCTTGCCATCAGACAGAATTTCAATAACTTGTTTGGTATAAAAAAAGCTGTCTTAGCGATTGTTTGGCATTTCTGTGAAACAGGTAAAGGGGATAAAAATGTGGCATCAGTTTTGTCCACCTGGATCATCCAGCTGGTGCAAATATAAAAAAGATTTAATTAATGGCACTAACAATTATAAAAAGAATATAAATATATCATGGACTTTTAAATTTTGTTGCCAACATTTTTAGAACTCAGAAGTGACGAGTTATCAAAATACCTTCATGGAAACTTAAAATGCCAACAAAGGTTTCACCAATATTGTATGGTCACATAGTCCAAAAAACACTTTTGTAACAGATGTTTTAGAGATTTTTATTGATTCTGCCATAATTTATTTTACTGACAATGCAAATGGTGTAACAATGTAATGGCAGAGTTTGCAAATAAATGGATGCAGATTTATGCATCCATTTATTTGCAAATCTTTTTTATATTTGCACCAACTGGATGATCCAGGTGGACACAACTGATGCCAAATTTTGTCCCCTTTATCTGTTTCACAGAAATGCCAAACAATCGCTAAGACAGCTTTTTTTATACCAAACAAGTTATTGAAATTCTGTCTGATGGCAAGGCCATAAAAGTTTTGCATTGAGCTATTTATTTTATCTGTTAGCTTACCGTGACCAGACAAAGTGTTTTTTGTTCCTGCGAACTTTTTACAAAGAGATCCATATTTGTTTCCACATTTCTTTTGTTTTTGATGGTTTGTAAAAAAGAGTAATAAGAAAACTTAAAAAAGACGCAAACAATAAAAAACCAAGAAAAAAAGTTCCAGACAATGCAAACAACAAAGATGTTGCTGAAGGCTATGTTTTTAGTGGTTTCTAAGTTGATGTAATTGTTTCAAATATTTTTTTGCTTTAAACAAAAAACTATTGAGTTTTGAAAAAAATTGATCAAGAAAAAGTTTTGAATTTTTTCAGATTTTCTCCTTTTTAACACTGATTTTGATAAAAATTACTTAAAGTTTTTTAATGAAATTTTTTGTTTTATATACCATCAAAAGCTAACTAAAATATATATGAACCACTGGAATTGCTTCTATTCAAAAATTATTTTTTTTTTATATGAGCCACCTTAAGAATCCTGAATTACTTTTAGTAAATACTGAAAGATTAATAATGATTATAATAAAGATTAATAAAGATTAATAAAGATTAATAAAGATTAATATCTGCATCTTGACTCTTAGTTATCAATATGATTTCAACCCAGATACTGTTTGTTTTTTCTTAGACTTCAAAATTCTTTATTAACCAATATAAACGATATAAAACTATACAAAAACACCTCTAATAGACAAGATTCTAGAACATATCAGTCAGGTGACAGCAAAGTTATTGGAACTTACTCTGAAGATATTTGCACATATGTTTATTTTATTAATATTTTCATCTACATTTAGAACAACATCTCTTTTTTCAATACTTCTCTTTGATATAAACTTTTTTTTATATATATAAACTATATAAAAAATTGTTTATGCAAAAGAAAAAGAAAAAAAAGATATCTATATTCCTTCTTTTTTGTTGACTGATTGGTCATTGAACTAGGTCTATGTGATTTCAACTATTTTTAGCTATAAAAGAGAACATTTAAATATACTTTCATCGATTACTAAGAGCTGTAGCATTTGCATACATAAATTTTAAATCAAACAAACTGGTATGCTTAGGTTGGTTTTTTAAACATAATGACTTGATTGCCATGGAGTGCATATCGAAAGAGAGAAGTAGAGTCCATAAATTATAATTATTTTGTCTCTCCTCACTGCCTTAAAATCAGGTGAAATGTAAACTTTTTTGTTTGTGTTTAATTTTTTAACAAGTAAATTTTATAACAATTTACAGTTTACACAACGCTTACATGAATTTAAATTGAGAAAATGATTTACACCTAATATTAGGAAACAGATCAATAAATTAATTTTTGATAGCAAAGTTTAAAATCAGCTAAATCAGAATAATGTACTTGACTTCAAAATGTAGCTTCTAAAGCGAAGGTCAAGACCAAGGCAAAAGATAAGGCCAAAGCTAAGACCAAAAGTTTAAATTTTGGCATTATGTTAAGGCCAATTATTAACAAAACTGCAGGTAGCAAGTGGTATGACAATAAAACTAAATTTTGTAAAATTAGACTAGTGAATGCGCAGAATTCAACAAAGTCAATAAGAAAATATATTTGGAGATGTATTCATCTCTAATTATATTTTTTTATTGACTTCATTGAACTCTGAAAGCCAAAAACAAAAGTACATAAAAATATAGAATTAAAACTTGTAATTCTTTATTTTTATGTTTTATACAATTTTTAATTAAAATATGTCAATATTAATTGTAAGATTATAAGTCATAAGCTTTAATTATCACTATATAACTTATAAATCTTCATTACATTTAAGAAACATCAAAGTTTCAAGCAACAAATCAGACATACAAGCTCTATGAGGGCACATTGTCATTCCACCCTGACAAAAGATACACTCGAGAGGAACTAAGGTTGCAGGGACACAGAAATTTTTGTTAAATATAGATTCCTAATTTGTGAATATTGTTTTATTATGTACAGTTATTTTGTTCAAGATTATGTACCAATTATTTGTTCAAGATAGTTTGTTAAAACTATCTTGTTTGTAAAACATGATTTTTCTATTATTTGTAAAAAAAGTATTTTTTATTTGGTAAAGAACTTTTGAATTTGAGGTGTAACACTATTTTTAGTAAATGTCAAAATGGTTTCTGATTTTTGAAACTATTGCTTATTGGTTCAAAGTTGGATTTTATAAATAAAATCATTAAAAAAACTCTATTAAAAATACATTACTAACAAGTTTTAAATAATGTATAATTAATAAAAATACTTTATAATAATTTATAATTTAAATATAATAAAAACTAATTCAAAAAATATTTAGAATTCTATTTTTAATTGTAAAAAAAGTTCATTTGTTAAAATCTTTTTTTAAATTTTGAAATGTTCTAAAACTAACAAAAAATGTTACAACAAATTATGTGACTTTATATATAGATGTAACATTCTAATTAACCAAACATGTCATTGATTATTGCTTTAAAATAGCTTGTCAAAAACAGCAATTTAAACTGTGACATAAAACACAAAATTAAGTTTAAAAGCTTTCAAGTAAACAAAAACAATTCTTGTAAACAAAATAAACTGTATTAAAATTTTTACGAAAGTTCTTAATTGATAAGAAAAAAGTGGAAGGCCAAGGCTAAAACAATCAAGGCCTAGACCAAGGCCAAAATGTTCAAAAAAAAATTGTCAATTAACTAGCATTACTTGTGTTAAAAAAAAACTTATCTTTACTAAAAAAAAAACTATTTTTTAATTTTTGTTAAATTTTGATCTTTAAACTATTTTTGATATTTAAAAATTGCACATGATGTGCAACAGCAAAATATACTTTTGTTAATTGCATAACAGTGCATAAAATATTAAAATAAATATAAGCTTAAAAACATTACTTTATTAAAATAGCTTACACAACATGGTTTGTTTAAAAAAAAATTAGTGTTAAAAGCGTTTTTTTTAAATTAAAACCATAAATAAAAATATTCAGAACATTAGACTTCATCCTTTCCTAACCTACATACCTTTATAACGATCAGAAAATTTCTTTTTTAATTTTCTCACTGAAGTAACAGAAGGAGTTATCAGAGAATTTAAGCTTGTGGGAACAATTTTATTTTGATATGCCATATCAGCTTCTTTGTCCATGTCTTCTTTTTTTATCGGTCTAAATCCAAGCAAATCTAAATCATTTTAAATTTAAAGTTAAAGCAATATATATAAAGACAACATTCAAATCTCCAGTTTTATTTATTATATCTTATATTGTCATTTATACGTATCTTATATTAAACATAAACATTATACATTTACAAATCAACTGTATTAAAGAGTTTTATTTAAGGATTATTGAAATAACTGATAAAAATAAAAATAATAAATAAAATAGTACACAGCAGGCTCCAACCTGAAATAACCTCATAGTTACTCTATTTGACTACAAAAATTAGCACATATATAAACAAAAAAGAAAAGAAAAAAAAAAGTAAATAAAAAACCTTTAAAATGCTCCAATATAAAGTCAACCATTTCAAAATCATTACTCTGTGTTTCAAGGCTTGTACGAACTGCTTCAAAAACATCATTTAAAATGGATACAAACATATTTATAACTATCCAAATGACAATGATATTAAATGTTAAAAAAAAAATTGGACCAAGTACAGGGTTTGCTTTTCCAAAATGACTGTAACTAAACTTTCCTAATAATAAGGAAATAATGGAAGCAATTGTTTTGAAATAAGTTTGATATCCATCTATGAATGCACCTAAAAATTATTCATTACATTAATTTTAGATTAAATATCTATCTGGGTTACTACAGTAAATCAAATAAAAATTCAACTGTCAAAGTCCACAACAACATAGAAGTAGGCTTTTTAAAATTAGGTTTTTCTTTTCCAAACCTTAAAAACAACTGTTTGTAAAAATCTTGATAGTAAAATTGCTTTTTGAAAAAATATTTATAAAAAAATTTCATAAATTTTTAGATTCCATGAGGCAGTTCTGAATATTTATAAAATATTTAGAACTGCCTCATGGGACCTAAAGTTTGCGGATTGGTCATTTTTGGGCTTGATTTTTAAAAATTTACTTTTTTACATTTCCAAGAGCTAATTAGTAATTACTATTATTACCTGCAAAGAATTTGTATTTAGTATTTATTTACTTACTAATTTGTATTTAGTTACTATTTTTTACTTACTAATTTGTATTTAGTTACTATTTTTTACTTACTAAAATAAATTACTTTTTAATTTACTTACTAATTTGTATTTAGTATTTAATTACTTATTAGTTACCAAAGATCATAGATCACAAATAAAAACAAAACAAACAAAATGGTGGAATCTTGACTGCAGACAGTAATGTTAAAACAAATTTAAAATAAATGAAATAATGCAAAACATCTTTTATTTACTTATAGTTGCCAAAGATTAGATTATAGAACTAATGTAAAACAACTGGTGTTTGGCAGACAGCAATAATGGCTGAAACAAGATCGAAAACTTACATTTATTTGATTGAGGAACCAGAATCACATTTAAGTGGCGGAGTTTTTGCCCACAAGTTTGGAAGTTTTAAGATTATATTTTTTTTCATCATAAAAAGAACAGTCAAACTCTAAAAAATGCCATAAAAACTGTAGTTCAGCAGTTGTGTGAGATCTAGACCAAAGCTAGAACACCAATTACTGAACAGAGAAGTATTGTTCGTAAAAATGAAGCTTTATAGGAAAGATACAAAAATATTTCAAAGAACAAAAGTCGTGGTGGGCCAGCACAGCAGGTAAAAGAAGATGTTTTCAACTCAGTAAATTGTCTTTTTGATATTGATCAACACGATGCATTAAAGCTGATAAAAATAAAAGATCAAATATTTCTTGCAAACCAACGTTCAGAAAAAAAATATGCTATGGGAGGTGTAGATATAATTTTGGCAAAAAAAGAAGAAAGTAAAGAATCAAGAATGCAAACGGAAGTTCAATGTGATATCAAAGAAAAGGAGAGAAAGAGAAAATATAAAGAAAGTCTGGAAATAGAAAAATAATTATTGTCACCATCAGATAGCTTAAGTGAAGCAGACAATGTTATATTAGCGTTGAAGACTATATGGTTCAACAACATAACAGTTTTGTCGAGGAACATTGTCAGGAGAAATCTCCATCAACTTCTAAACATGCAAAGGTATATGCTTTAGATATTATTCCTTCAGGACTTGCATCTGCACTTGATTGTACAAATGTAAGTGACAGAAAAGCAACATATATCTTAACAGTAGCCATCCAAACATATTGTGACAGTGATATATCAAAACTACCATTATCTCATAGTAGCATTAGAAGAAGCCAAATGAAGCATGGCTTTCAACATTATGCTGACGTTAAGGCAGCCTTTAGTTCGGAGCGACCTTTGGTTATTCATATTGATGAAAAACTTTTGCCAGCAATTTCAGGTGGGCCTAAAAAAGTTGATTGTCAGGCGTTTCTAGTTTCGGGATTAGGAACAAAAAACATTTGGCATTTCCTAAACTGGTTCAAGGGACTGGTGAACTTTTAGCAAACGCACAATGGTTGCCATTACTGATTGGAAATTGCAAAATCAAATAGTTGCAAATTTTTTTGACACTACAGCATCAAACACAGGTCGACTAAATGGTGCGTGCACAATTTTAGAAAGAAAATTTCAAAAAAATCTGCTCTGGTTGGCATGTCATTATCATGTGCATGAAGTTCTGTGTGGTGGTATCTTTAAGGCAGTTTTCGGCCCATCCTCTGGTTCAAACGTGTTGTTGTTTTGTCTATTTCAGGAATAATGCCCAAACATAGACCAAGAAATGTATACAACTTGCACCAACATTGTTTAAATGAAGAACTTAAAGAATTGAAGAGAGAGGTAGTTGATTTTATTTTAGGAGTGTTGAATGGAAAGGTAGGAAATTTACCCAGAGAAAATTATCATGAGCTTTTAGAACTTACTTTGATCTTTCTTTTAGATACTCCATCTCAAGAATACGGTACCAAGTTCCTGGTGCTTTTCACCATGCAAGGCGGATGTCTAAAATAATTTATGTTTTGAAGATTTTCTTATTTCAAACTCAATTTAAGCTCACCAAATGTGAAAGTTCAGGGTGCTTAGAATTTGGTTTGTTTGTTGTTCTTATCTATGTAAAAGCATGGATAACCTGCTCATACTCATGCGATGTTCCATTTAAATCTCATAAAAGCATTAACAAAGTACAGTTCAACATCAAAAGTCATCTTTTGATGTTGAACAGTACTTTTGAAGGTAGCGAGTTGCCATTTATGGTATCTTGGAGAAAAACTAGCACGACTTGGTCTGTTTTCTGATCTGGTGCCTGTTATGACAAAAAAACTTATGGTAGCAAAATTGCAAGATCAGATTGCAGACAATCAAGATTGTAGATCAATTCGAAACATTGGAACTGAAGATCTGAGAGCAAAACCTCTGAACTATTTCATTGGACTATCTTCACGTTTCTTTTTTGCTGCCTTACAGTTAGACATGTCCTTTCTGAAGGAGGACGTTGAGAAGTGGTCAAATATTCCAAATTATCAGACTGCTAAGAAAACCGTTAAGGCACTAAAAGTTATCAATGATAGTGCAGAACGAGGAATTTCTCTAGCCACTGCATTTAATTCTACAACTACAAAACAAAAAGAGCAAAAACAATATTTGTTTTAAATGGTGGAAGGCCATTGACGAAGATTTCCCAATCCAAAGAAATTAACATTACTTTCAGATGTTGGTTGTAACTGAACAGTTAACTGAACACTTAAAACAGTAAAAAGTGAACAGTTTCAATGGAAAAGTATCAAAATAAAACGTTCTTTTAATTTACTGTAAAGATATAAAACTTGTTGCACATTTTTTATGTTAATAAAAAAATTGTAATTTTTTGGAAAATTTTTAAAAATTACTAAATATGGTGAAATTCAATGAGGCAATTTTAAATATTCAATGAGGCAGTTCTAAATATTGTTCGATGTTCTTCAAATTTTTTGTTCTGCATTTACGAAGCAAAAAGAACATAAAAATGCAAGTGCCTTTACGATATAAAATCTTTTTTTTTTCTG